AAAGGAAAGAGTCTCTTCTTCCCTCCCCCTCCCTCTCTCTCTCTCTCTCGCTCCCCCCCCTCTTCCCCACCCCGCGTTTTGGTGCCTGTTATTTCACTCGTTTACTTCATTTATTTATTTTGCTGGATCGCATGGGAGAGTACGGGCGTTTTTGTACGTGGCGTGGTTGTAACGTAGTTGCGGAGGGAACGCGTGTCGAAATATCTCGGCGGTTATTGTTGGCGCACGCGATTTTCTGCTTACGCGCTCGGTTACTGAAATATCAATGTAAGGCTGTTCATTGAGCGCGCGGTATGTGTCAGATTGTCCGCTCCTGATAGAAGAGTAGCCTTCGCGGTTTGAGCGGTAATAATAGGTACAGCGTCAGCGCCGCGTTTCAACATCTCGTTAAGCTTTTGGATTAATAAGACTTTCGCGCGGCTAAAAACCAGTGGCGCTTTCCTTCCCCCTTTCCTCGTCGTCTCCCTTCTTCCCTTCCTCTTCCCCGCCCTCGTCTCGCGGATTATTATTACGAGCGATTTGGAAATTTTATCGCGCTTTAATAATTCAATCGCGAGGCAGGCACTATTAGTGTGTTAAAAACTTTTGCGATATGGACGGTTTCTTAAATGCTTATATTATTATGTAATAGCGTATAAAATATGCAATCGAAACTATGCGCCAGAATGTCAGGTTCTTTGAAAAGTTTTTAGATAATCGTGATGATAGAACTAATCTCTAAAATTGGTATTTTTTTTATGTTATTATCGTCCGGAGTGAAATTTCGTGTAACGAAGCTTGAGGGTTTTGTCCTTAGAACAAATTTTTTCCTAACTTGTGTTCGAATAGCGTAAAGCAAAGCGTCGATCGTTTTTTTTTCTTTTTTCCTTTTTTTGTGCGGCGAGAAAACGGGATGTGCGAAAACCAAGCGCGTGTGGTACGAAAACGGTGATGCGAGGTAAATGTCAGAATGAGAGAGAGAGAGAGAGAGAGAGAGAGAGAGAGAGAGAGAGAGAGAGAGAGAGAGAGAGAGAGAGAGAGAGAGAGAGAGAGAGAGAGAGAGAGAGAGAAAGAGAGAGAGAGGTGGGAAAGGATTACGGTGCGTCAACGGCGATGACTGAACGGGCCGTAATCGCTGTGCCGATCTAATATTTCGAATAGTTCGCATTTACAATGGGCTTTATTGGCGGGAAAACTGAGGGGGTATTTTGAGCAGGCGGGACATCCATCACGGGGTGTCAACGCGATTGTCTTCCGCGGCGTTTGCCACGGGAAAGTATTGACGGGCTTGCGCGCAACCGCCGAAATACCGGTCGCGCCTCTCATCGTCGCTCGGAAATGGATAAATGTCGTTAAAGTAATTAAAATCGGGTGCCGGCTGTC